AATTGGGAACTTTGCGTTCGTCGATCAACGGACCTGGTGTTCTGCGCCGAGCCCATGTTACCGGTTGCTGGCCGGCCCCAGGTGATTTGACACTCGCGTTAGGATCGTTTAAAACGTTTACATGGCGGTGCGTCATGTATGCAAGGTCCGACGGTTGCGGAATAGGTACCGCTAGATCTTACTAACGGCCTTGAATGACTATTTCGTATTCTAATATTCGTTTAAAAAGTTTTATCCATGCTTCGTTAAAGGTGATGGACGGAGTAGGAATTTAAAGAACACTATTGAGCGTTTCGGATATAACACGGGGCGTCGCGCGCCGTTGCGAATGAAGGATTTCGAAATACTTGAAGCTGATTCAAATGCTTGTGGGCCAGGTTCGAGATCCGGCTGCAGCATTAGTATCATCGAGTATTTGCTGAAAACCAAATTACGGCGGAAAGCCTTGCTTCTATGCGTTTAGGTGTCTATCAAGTCGCTCCCCTCACCGAATAATATCGTTATCGATAAATTAAAATTTTACAGGAAAAATAAAAGTGTTTTTTGACGATTATTTTAAAGATTGTCTAATTTATGAGGATGAATTATATATCAAATGAAAGGTAATTTTTTATTACATCATTTTAAACAAAGTTATTCATTTTGTACTTTCTTAAAATAAAGTTATTATAGAAAATATTTTTTACTATAAATGCTAGGCAAAACATTTATTTGCAAAATAATATTACGATATTATTCGTGTAAAAAAAATAGATGCCATGAACAATAATGGCATACCACAATTTTATTCGTTAATGAAAGGTAACCAAACATAAACGGTAATAAATTAAAAAAGGGGGTTTTTCGCGGATGTAATGTATGTTACATATTAAAGTTTTGTTTGAATACCATTGTCTTATCGTTTTATCTACAAAGTAATATCAGTTACTTGAAATATGATTCTCAATAAAACGATAGCTTTTTATGAAAGAAAACCGTTTATTAAGGGAAAGACGGGAAATGGTTGAATCATAATCATAATTGCAGCCTGTTTGAGTCCACTACTGAACTTAGGCCTCCCACAGACTGCCACGAAGCACGATCCTGAGCTACCTGCATCCATCGACTTCCCGCACACGTGTACAGATACTCTTTGGAAACTTCGGCATATCTTCTCGTCTAATATCACTCAATGTTTGAAGACAAAAGTCTACAATCAATGTGTGTTGCCAGTGATGACCTACGGAACCGGGACGCGGTCCTTCACTGTTGGCCGTATGAGGAAGCTCAAAGTCGCTCAGCGAGCTATGGAGCGGGCTATACCCGGTATTTCTCTGCGTGATAGAGTTCCTAACCAAGACATCCGCAGAAGAAACAAGGTAACCGACATAGCGCAGAAGATTAGCAAGCGGAAGTGGCGTTGGGCCGGCCATATATCTCCTAGAACCGATAACCGTTGGGTAAGAAGGGTTCTTGAGGTGGCAGCCTCGTACTGGGCATCGCGGTGCAAGACGATCCCGCTAATTAGGGTCTCGTCCTGCGCTATTTTCTCTTGAGCTGTAAAACTACCTGTTCTGTAATACGTAGTATAAAAATACAAAATACAAACTTGAATAGATGCATGGTCCTGCTTAAAATAATATTAAATGGTATGTATCCTGTTATTTTTTCTTTCTAAAGTGATGCGTTTTACAGGTTGTGCTTGAACGTGTCTCACGATATATTGCCATTGGAGTTCATGATCTTTCAGTCTATAAAAAAGTGTCAAATATCGCCTGTAGTTGCTCCATAGAAAATGTTATGCCACAATCTTTTTGCATGAGCATGAAGGACCGATGTCTTTAGTAGCATACAGTTTTTTTGAACGTGCACCTTCATAAGATTCGCTGCTATTTTTGAGTCTTTTGGTCATCGTTTCCTAGTTAATTTTTTATTATTAGAATTAAAAACTACTTCAGTGTTTGTCTCAGCCGTGTCTTGCGCAATAGTAATCGCTGTCACACAGCATACACAGATATTAATCCTAATATTAATATTATTTGCTGATATTTATTGCATTAGTGCATATCACGTAAATTATACAGAGTTTTTAAAGTCTGTTTCATTATCAAGCGGATTGATTGTCTTTGAAGTTGAAGCCAACCCCGGTGAAGTTGCTGTATCCACTGGCTGGCATAGCGCTGCCAGTTGTAAGCATGCCGTGGCAAGCTCGCTAGAGAGGCCTAAGGCCTACGAACCATAAGCGGCACCCCCTACATGTGCATGCCCACCGCGAAGGCTGAAAAGTCGAAAAAGTTTTTTAAGATATGTTGTCCCCCTCACAACCGAGCCCTCTCAAGCGAGATGCAGCATGTGGCGTATTCAAACTCCGCTTCCGGATCCCTTTGTCCCGCTTTCTGAGAGTCTTCCAGCTGGTCATAGACTACCTTGGCCAACCTGGAAGTCTTTAATTAGACTTCGGACTCAGGTTGGCCGAAGCAAGGAAAATATGTTCAGGTGGGGACTCTCAGAAAACTCAGAACTGGACTGTATGTGTGGAGCAGTGCAGTCTATGGCCCATCTGATGTCCTGTCCTGCCTGCCCTTTTACCTGTTCGCAGCAGGATCTGATGGATGCCACAACGGTACGGTTTTACGGTGGTAGAGCTACGCAGCAGCCTCGGCTGTTGCACGAATGGGCAGGTTCGTCCGGGTAAGTACCACGACCTCACAGAAGACCGGCGTAAAGTGGAAGTATGACAAATACTTTCGTGTTTCGTCTGGTGAGTGAGGTGGCCGGAACACAATTTCCAAAAAGGTTATCAACGCATCTGCAAACCCTCGGGTGTAGCAGATGTCCATGGGCGGCGGTACTCACTTAACATCAGTGAACCGTCTGCTCGTTTGGCAACTTTCCACACGTAAAAAATAAAGAAAACAAATTGTGCTGTCGAAGTGGCTAAGTTCTGGGCTGAAAAGATATGATCTGTCATCGTCACGTACAGAAGAAGAAGAATTGTCCGAAGAATTTCAGTAATTACGACATCTTCAGTCAGTGCACTTGAAGTGGATGGCTGGATGTCTGAAAAAAAAAAATGAAGTAGAGGGACAGTATAAATTAGATATTACCTGAATATTTTTTTTTAATTGCTGAGGCGATAATCCATCAATTTAGAAACTAGATTGGGCCTATGCCCAGTACTGGCCAGCAACCGGCTGAAATGATAATAATAATGAATACCTAGTCTTCATGTACAACAACTAGGTATCTCCCTCTTCACATGGTTGGCAACGGATTAGAGTTAGTTACCTCTAAAACCTTCTCAAAGGCACCCGAGCCACGGTCATTTTAGGTAGGTTCATAGTTCATTAGCCAAGCAGTACGTAAGCATATAGATACGTAAGTATATAAATCTTATAGGTACTTACCTTTAGGAAATTTCAGTAAATCCAGAATTTGCCTAGGGGTTTTTTCAAAACTGTCTTTTTCATATTCTTTGTGATTTTATCGTATTCAAAATCACACTAAACACAATATTAATGTAAAATACAAAAAGAACTCGATAATTATGTAAGTAAGTACTTATTATAATATTGATACTGAGAGCGCATCACTTCACTACCTAAATATTTTTTGGTACGGATTTAAAGTAAACAGATTAACCAGCACGTGCCGAGTACTCGGTATTGCTCTATTCCTTTCTTTATCTTAAGAAAAAAAGAAAGCGATGCGTATTACTTGTGGCTCGTGGTAATAAAGAATACAGCAATCTTAATTTGAGTGTAAACAACGCCCCGGTAAACTTTTGCAAAGGTCATAACTGTATTTTTTTTAAATACAATTAAATGTTTACCAACATTACCACATTTTTCAAATAAAATTACTACAGGAATAGTATTGTCAGAATACTTTACTAGAACTCGAGTTTGCTCTTTTTTACTCGAATAATATCGTTACAGTCAACATTTAAAACCTTATTTGTAGTGCAAGTAGTAATCACCAGTAGCGATTTTATTCATGTAAATAATTATACTAAACCTGTAACGGAATAATAAGGATATGGTTATTATATAAATGCTAGTTTCAAAATTACTCACAGGAAAAATGTGAAAAAAATTTACAAGATGTAAAAGGATGTCTACATGACGAATATGCAATAAAACCCAAAGTATCGTTATAACACATTACCATATTATTCGGTGGTAGGAGCGAAGTGTCAATGTCAACTCTTTGAGTAAAAGAATTCTGTGGTCAATGTCTTTGTCGTGTTGAGGTGTCAAATCCATAATAGGGATGTGCAAAATATATCGATAATAATCCTATCAACATTTTGAAAAACTCGATATTTATCGAGTGTAAAATATCGTCAAGTTTCACATGATTATTCATAAATACTTCAACAAATGATTCAAAATTTGTAAAAAATAATAGACATGAAGACTATATTTGAAAAGATTTTTTAAAGTTAAGATGGGTGAGGAGCATGCAAAGAGTATATAACATTACAAGAAATACGAAACCAGAGTTGCGTTAAAAGTTATGACGAAATTGACACGAATTTTTTTTTATCAAACCAAAAATTTATTCAAAAACAAAACAAAAGAAATTAAACCTATCTTAAAATTTATATCAAATAAACCTAATCTACGCGGCATGGTGCCAAGAACGCTAGCTGCATTTCCTCGCTGTGCTTAATTAACCTTCGAGCGAGAAAAGAACCAGCTCGCTTGTCACCAGCCGCGGCGTTAATCCTAGGACGAAATATAAAAAAATAAAAAAATATCGACGATAATTGTATGGAAAAATATCGATATTTTTTACTCCCATGCATAATAAAATAAGTCTTAAATTAAATGTAAAATCTCATTCATTCATAATCATAATAATAAATATTAAATTTTAAATGGAGGGATATTAAGAGGGAAAGAAATATCTTTAATTAATAATTAATAACAGGACCTTTAAATTCTATGCGATTGTGTTATATGCCTACTCTTATATGTACTTCACGAAAATATAAAGAAGTAACCTAAAAAAATTCAATGGCTGAAGAAACAAAATCTGATGCAAAGAGACCTATATCGGATGCTGAGAGATTGGAGTTATGTCAAAAGCTTGATCAAGAGCTTGATGATTTTATAAATAGCTTAGAAAGAAAACGATATACGGAAGGATGGCAAGAAGACCGATGGGAGGTAAATATAATTAGGTAATTTAATATAACTTCGACAGAGACATACTAAATACTTCGTATTAAGTTTAAAAAATGAGAAAGAAAGTGTGAAAAGTGATATGAAAAATGTATGACATAAGATGTATTGTGCATTATATAAATATAAAATACATGGGGTAAAATTTTGGAGTACAGAGGGGTGATGTGGTGAGTCACCCCCCCACTTGCTCCCCTTCCGCCGGAGACGCATAGTATTTTTATTATACAACTTTTAGTTTTATTTATTTAATGAACCTTCTAACCTAATCTGTCTGAGTCGGATTGCTCTGTGTCGGATCAGCAACTCATTTAATTTAAAAAAAAATTTGATCGAACAAACGGTACGGAAGTCACCCACTTCCTATATTTATCATGTTCGTAGTACTGTGTATTCAGTTTTATTAATAAAATGTGCGTACTTTATTAATGAAAATAACAGCTTAAATTTTTTTTCTCGTAAACTGAATGCGACCGGCAAATTCTGCTTGTTGTTTAATTCATTAGCGATTTTTCTCTATTGTTTAAATTTTTTTTATTATTCCCATATTCGAAAACACACTGAAATTTATAAAATTACATTCCATTTCACATTTCGTAAGATTTTTAAATTAAAAAAATAGCTAATTAAATTTTTTACGCATCTCCGGCAGAAAAAAATGCATTAGAGTCCTTGGTACGAACCGCCTTAACCCTCCCAAACTTAGAGTGTACTTAAATTAGGGTGACCCAATTCAAAACCTAACGAAATACATGCACTAAAGTATTATAAATATTAATATTAAAAAACAAATTTTGTGAATATATATATAAAAATGTGTAAATAATTTTATGATGCATTCAGTATAATTCTGTAGTCACAAATATAGAATCTTAACACATAATACAAATAAAAAGTGATTTCACTACACTATTATGAAACAATTGAAATTATACAAAAAATCTATTCAGTTTCAAATACAGATTTCCAATTCTTTACAAAGCATTTAGAAATATTCCAGTCAATAGAGAAAATGAAGTAAGTAGTGGAGTTTTAGTGTCCAAATAATTGTAAACATCATTTTTAACAGTGCAGTGTAAATAAATATAAATGAGCTATTGTAATTTTTACTTATTTTGTTCTTCATATCATAGGAAGAAATGGACAAGCATCCTTTCTTTATGAAATCCAATCCAAATGCAGATGAAATTTCACCACTAGCAGAAGGCCTAGCAAAACTTAAATATGACCCTGAAGAAAACACTCCACTTGAATTGGCAACAAGTTACAAAGAAGATGGCAACTTTAATTTTAAGCATAAAAATTATCGGTTAGCAATTCTAGGGTAAGTTTTTAATTATTAGTTATTGACATTGCTATAAAGACATATTAGGTATAATATAAAACTTAAAAAAAATGTTATTACTTTTAACTACATTAAATAAATTTATTAAATGCCTTATCCTAAGCTATCACACATCTTGAACTCCAAAAGGTCATATCTTTAATGATGACTCCAAAGATTAACAAGGCATACATTTTGTGAAGATTTCTGTGTTTAAGAATTCGTAATGATTTTTTTTACCTTACACAAAAGTGTATATTATAAAATAATGATATTAGCGTTATTATTTGTTATTTGTACGTAATGTTATTTGTGGTATGTTTATCCCATTTCATTGTTTACATCTGTTGCTAGAATAACATTTAAAGGACATAGGTTTAAATCATTTTATTTCAGATTTTTTTTGTAACTGTTATTTTGAAATGAAAAAGTTTTAAAATGACTTGAAAAACGACGTTGGCAGGGCCACGCAACTGTCACACTATTGGACGAATGGGCTGGTCCGTCCGGGTAACTATCACAACCTCAAAGAAGACCGTTGTGAAGTGGAAGTGTTATACTTCTGTATTTCATCTGGTGAGGTAGCCGGAGGCCTTTTTATCTAAAGGTGGCAACGCATCTTGAATCCTACTGTACATATTTGATATTCTCGAGCAACCTGAGTTTGATCCCTGGTGCAGGCATCAATGAAATTGTTAATTTTAAGTGCTGTCTTGTCACATGCTTGCGGTGAAGGAAAACATCGCGAGGGGACCTGCATATTTTTGATATATTAAAAAAAATATTTCGAACATAATATGTGAAGTTCACCAATCTGCAGTGAGGCCGCATGGTGGAATATGCCCTAATTACAGTAATACCCTTTGTCCAGTGGAGGCCTTTGCCCAGCAGTAGGATATACATATATAGGCTGTTACTTTATCTCTTAACATCAGTTGAACCGTCAACTCGTTTGCCACTGTCTCACATAAAAAAACATCTATTGTGTAGTTTTTTTGTTTACAATGATACTATTACTTTGACTGTTGTAGGGCCATGCAACAGTCAACTGTTTCGCGATGGGTCCGTCTGGGGAAGTACCACTACCTCACAAAAGTTCGTGCAGGGGAAGGGTTATACTTCTGTTATATATAACTTTGTTAGTTCCTTTATATCTTTTATGTATATCATACTTTTTTACAAAATTCCATTAGGTGATAACTTTATGAACAACGATCTATACGCAGAACGCGGGGAAATATCTTCATTCAGGCGGATTAAGTTTCTGTAGCTTGTCGCATTCATTGCATATTTTACTCACAGCATGACTCTTGTGATAGCTTATCGTGAAATCATTACTTGTAACATTTAGGTAATATCTCAACAGGTACACAGAGGGAATAAAAGTGAGGTGTGATGATGCAGAAATAAACGCAAGTCTGTATAACAATCGAGCTGCCTCACATTGGCACTTAAAGAACTATAGATCAGCACTTTTCGACAGTGAGAAGGCATTATCATTCAATGCAAACCACGCAAAAGCGAGACTACGGGCTGCTAAATCGGCATTTGAAGTAGCCAAGTATGACACATGCATAGAGCACTGTCAGAAATTGCTAGAAACGCAGTCAAAGGACAAGGACGTTGTCGAATTACTTAACACGGCAAAAAAGAAAAAGATGATTAAGGAACGCGACGAGAGAAAAAAGAACAGAATCCACCTAAAGAAGAACGAGGAAAAGGAAATGGTTGTTAAAGCTATAATTGAGCGTGGGATAAAGATATCTAATTGTGACGATGCTGACGATATAGACTTGTCGAAATTGGAGCCATGTTTGCCGGGAGCGGAGAATTCTATAGTCCACATTGAGGATGGTATTCTAAAATGGCCCGTATTGTTTCTGTACCCCGAATACCAGATGACTGACTTTGTCAAGGCATGCCCTGAAAACGTTCCGTTAACGAACCAATTAGAGCAGCTTTTCCCCGCGCCTTGGGATGAGAACGATAAATATAAATGCAGCACTGTCAATATATACTTCGAGGGGTACGACAAAATGCCCCACGTGGTTAATCCATCTAAAAACTTGGGCGAGCTGTTGCTGACGAAATATTTCGAACTAAAGGCGGGAACGCCGGCATTTTTCGTTCTACCGCGTGGTAGTGTAATCGAAAGTAGGTTCTTGGAAAGTTATTTGTGAAATCCATTACTCCACACGAAAAAAAATTGTCAATTTATGACCGTTTTAAGGAATTATCGAATTTTTGACTTAATTGTGTTACTTTTTAAAGATTCTCTTTGTGCCGGTCGAGTAAGCTTACAGTTTTATTTACGGTGTAAATTGTATAATTATGTTATTTATAAAATCCATAATTTTTGTACATTAAAATATACATGTCATTTATTTTATTTTATTTGGGAAATTCTTCATGAATCGTTATCACCGTCTTCTTCGAAATTCTGATGCGGATAGAATGAGCCAGGTGGTTCAAAGGAGCCTTTCTCGTTCATAAGTGAAGGATAGGGGTGGTGAGGCACTGCACCCATCCATTGTGGATACCAGTAGAGACCCTGATACAGAAAACAGAAAATATTTTAACAAAGTCATATTTTGTGCATATTCTTATTGATTCTTCTATACGGATTAGTGAAAATTTCTATCAAATCTACACCTACGTTGCGTTATGGGCAAATTTCGCGTACCCCGTGGGTAATTTTAATAGTCTGCGAGTCGTAGGAGCAATGTGTTTACCAGTCTATGTATGTTTGTTCTTTTGTGGGACAAATGAACAAACGGTTAACTGAAGATTTTGAACGTTAATCGAAACGTCATCTTGAGTGTCACTAGAGACATGACAGTAATCGTAATTCATGACATGACGACAACCATATTGTAAAAAAAAAACATAATATATTATTAATCTTAGTATAGCCGGGTATAGTAGACAAATATTCCACTCAGGCGGCCTATTGGACTTTTCGAACGATTTTGCTAATCAAGCTGATGAGTTTTTTGATTTTTTTAACCCGTTATTTGATGTTCTCGTAGAAAATAATGACCTTATTGCCCGCCGCGTTACACGTGAACCTGTCGTCGTGTAAATCCACCGTGTCCAAATAACTCTTTCCGGCGATGGATCCGTAATTTGGCGGGTACATAAAAAGGCAGCCGTCCAGGATATCTAAAAACAAACTATATTTATAACTAGCTAACTCGGCAAACGTTGTTTTGCCATATAAATTATTTCTAGGGAATTTGGAAGTGTTTGACAGGTTGACAGGGGTCCAGTTTGTATGGGAAAATAAAATTGTTGCTATTTCGATTTTCCATGCAATTTTTTCATATTTTCTCGTCGTTTAAACCTTCTCTGGACTGCCTCAAATATTTCAAAACCCAAATTAGTCAAAATCGGTCCAGTCGTCGAGTTTTAGCGAGACTGACGTACAGAGGTTTAACGGTGGTAGGGCCACGCAGCAGCCTCGGCTGTTGCACGAATGGGCAGGCCCGTCCGGGTAAGTACCACGACCTTACAGAAGACCGGCGGAAAGTGGAAGTATGACAAATATGTGAGTGAGTGAGATGGCCGGAGCCCAATTTTCAAAAGGTTCCCAACGCACCTGTAACCCTCGGGTGTGGCAGATGTCCATGGGCGGCGGTATTCACTTAACATCAGGTGAACCGTCTGCTCGTTTAATAACTTTTCACATAAAATAAAAAAGCAATCCATTTTTAGAAATAAGATTATGTAAAATAAATTACGTCATGATATTTAAAAGATTAAATCTATCAAAAATTACATATTATCTAATAAACCTAATCCACGCGGCATGGTGCCAAGAACGCTACCTGCATTTCCTCGATGAATAGTCATGCATAACTTTTGAGCGAAAAAAAGGACCAGTTGCTCTCTTGTCAAACAAACAAAACAAACTCGATTAAAACTCGAAAAGTAAATAAGGAATGGATGTTCCTGTGTGCGTGCATCGTTCCTCCGAGAGGTGAATATTGTACAGATATTATCGCTAGGTTTAGAGCTTGTAGAGCAAGTATTTAAGAGCCATTAGGTAGTTTCATATAATTGTATAATAGAATTTTAAGTACCCTTATATTGTTCTGGGGTGGTTATGGTTGAAACAAAATAACATAGTCGTCGTTTTTAAACGTTTTTGCTGGTATGTTTATGACTCTAAAAAAGTCATGTTACTTAAGTTTCAAAGCTCGTGTAAACGCTCCGATGATTGTAAGTTTTGGACTATACTTTTAATACGGTATCATATCATATTTTTTGGAGTGTGTGTGTCCATTAAATCTGAGGAGGGTGAAAGTTAATGTATTTACAAGGAACAGTTATGTTGTCCTCTTCCTCGACAACGTCAGGAGTCGGTGTTGGCTCGATATATGGCGGAACGGGATCTATGCCGCTTCCTGGATCTCCGGGAATCAGGAACGGACCTAAGAAATAAGCGTAAAGTAAAGTAAAGTAACAGCCTATACATGTCCCACTGCCGGGCAAAGGCCTCCTCTATACAGAGGGTATCAGGGCATAGTCCACCACGCGGCCCCACTGCGGATTGGCGGACTTCACATATTTTCGAAATATATATTTTTTTTGGTATTATTTCGAAAATATGCAGGTTTCCTCACGATGTTTTCCTTCACCGCGGAGCAAGTCAGCACTTAAAGTTAAAAACTTCATTGGTGCCGGCACCGGGGATCGAACTCAGGTTGCTCGAGTATATTGAATTAAAGGCGAGCGCCCGGACACTGAGCAATCACGGCTCACGAAATAAGCGTATCATAAACAAATTTCCAAAAACATCCGGTTCTGTTTTACGTTATTGTTCGTTATTGTCATATCTACATGTATTTGAGGTCTATTAAAGTAGAAAGATTTGAAAGGTTATTAAACATTTTATGGCGTTTAATTTTATAGGGCCGACTTTTAAAATTACATAAGATGCTGTAAACCTGAAACCTTAGCGAAATTTCCACCCATTCATTCCTATGGATGATTTGTTAGGCTATTGAATAAAGAAGATTTTGGGACCTACAATTGTCTTAGTATCCTATAAATATAAAAATAAATTTCAAACACGCTGTATTATCATTTAGCTGTATAAGGCTTCCTATTACCTAAGGTAATAAAACCTAACAGTAGATACTCCAGGTATGCTATTACAATTACGGACGCTAATTTCTTGGGTCTCTCTGTGTCGTATCTATGATGTAAAGTAATCGATACGCTGCGACGGGAATTTAAAAATAAATTAAAAAGTAGAATATAGGTAAATTTGACACCATGAGAACTATATTTTCCAATTATTCCTATTCCTGTGTTGCAATGACGTCTCTTTGCGGGGTGTGGCACGGCGGTGTACAGATTGATTCGTTCGTTTGGGTTTTCGTAACTTATTAAACGTAGTATAAACTAGTCGTTGTGCAATTTTTATCGCCAAGTTCTGTACTTTTTTGTCTTAGACAAACCAGTAAGGATTAAAAACGGGTGATACCTTGTTTCAAATACAAACATCTTATAGAGATACCAATCTACGCGCATCAATCTGTTCGATTAAAATGATTCTTTAATGCGAAAGTGAACAGGATTTTACTGAGCCAGTGCACCACCATCGATTTCATCACCACTTACCACTAGGGACAGTCATCAAGCCTTCGAAAATCCGTCATAAAGACTGGACTTACCGCCATAGGTGTTCGTATAGTTCCATTCGCAAACATGGTGGTCACACACCAACGGTGTGTGGCGCTCCTTCGTGTAGTAGGTCTGCCCATTTGGTGTGGTCTGCATAAAGTGATGACATTTTTAATAGACACAAATTTACAACAGTACTTCATATACTGCATCCTGGGCCTACCGCCCGTGCAATGATTTAAGTTATAATCGAGACTCATGGTCAAGTAGGTTGCTGATTATTGTCGTCATTATCAATATTTTGTGTATTTTTAAGATCAATATCAAATTTTTACTGTAGACTAGGTACGGTATTTTCAATGGATCTGGATCGGGGTACGTCTACTGTAGATAGTTCTCTTGTGTCGTCGTAATATAAATTATGTATTTCGAATATTGTCGTTCTGCCTTATGTTCATTGTAGACAATTGTAATATATTTCTTCCTATATATTAATATAAATATATGTTTTGTATTTCGAATATTGTCGTTGTCTTTATGTAGTAGATAGGTGTAATTTATTTCTTGCTATATATTTCTACATTGATTTCTCTGCACACAAAATTGAAGTCAAGTATGATTTGTTATTATAATTTTATGTAATTATTAAATCTCCGTGTTTGTATTCGTATTATTGAGTATTTTTATACCGATCTCTTATACTATTGTTAGTACGTATGCAGCGATGTATATTAGTTTTACTTAAACTGTTATTAAATTCGTTTATCACTAGTTAAGTGCTAATGAGCATCCAACGTAATGGCCAAACTGACCTAAAAGTTGCCTGAAGAAAAAAATTTAGTATATAAAATTCGCGAATTCACCAGCAAGTAATCGTAGTGCCGGTAGCGGAGGCCCTGTATGTTGAAGTCCAGGATGAAGGATCCCGAAGCAACTATGCACGATGTGGCGGTGAGAGGCGGCAACTTGTACATGACCAGGCCGCACTTGACGATCGCTTTGGGCAAGGTGATCACGTCCCTGTCTTTTTGCAGCAGCTTCTTGAATGGAAACCTGATGGGTTGGAAACAGATCGCCGGGACCTAGTTTATCTCGGTAGATGTCGACATGTACACACTTTTGTGGTTAGAGGTGATGATGCTCGTAAACTTTAATAGTGATATGAATAGTAAACTTATAACTCATTATGTAGTGCCAACAACAGTCTTCCTGTCGCACGAATGGGCCTGTCCGTCTAAGGAAGTACCAAGACCTCACAGAAGACCGGCGTGAATTAGAAGTGTTATACTTGTGCATTTCTTATGGTGAGTGACGCATCGGCAACCCTACGGACATTCCAAACATCCATGGGCGATGGTTATCACTTAACATCAAGTGAATTGCTAGCTCGTTTGCCACTATACAACAACTTTGTTAGTTCTTGTGATCATACGTTTATTAAAAAATCCATTAGGTGATGATTTTTTGGACAACTATCCATACGCAGAACGCGGAGAAGTCTGAAGAACTCGTCATTAAGAGTTCATTCACAAAAATTGGGAATGCAATTGCGTCTCCACGGGTGTTTCTCTTCACGGGTGTATCACTCGCTCGTCTACCACCTTTTACCGGAAAAAGTTGTTTTCTCCCAAGCCCTCTTACCGGAATATGCAGAGACCGATTTCACTTCAGTGGTATATCACGGCACTAGCTCGACTTTCGCCTTTTACCGCAAAAAGTCGATTCCTCCCAAGCCTTCTTACCGGAATATGCAGAGACCGATGTGGCACTCCAGCCCGTGGAGATAGTTGTCGGTGGGGAACGATATGCTGGGGTCGTCCATCAGGTAGTACTTCGGCTCGTCGTGGAAGTGGAGGAAGCCGAGGAAGACGAAGGAGCGCTCCCTGCAGTACGGCGCAACGCCGCGGCCCATGTTGTAGATGTCGCTGTAGAGCTCAGAGACGAAGAGGTACACGTTCTTCCCGCAATAGAACTCTACGGCGAAAAGACGGTTCGGTTCGAGGGCGGTGCTCTTTTTAATTTTATTTTTGTTCCAATCACACGGTGCTCTATTGAAACAAGATCGACATTTTTTATGCGAGCATGGCAATCGAGCTTGTACATTTGCAACACCCGTATGGTTGCAGATGCGTTGCCATATTATGATAAAATGTGCCCTGGCTACCTCACTCACCAGAAGAAACGCAGAAATGTGACACTTCCACTTCTCGCTGGTCTTCTTTGAGGAAGGACCTGCCCTGGAAGGATGGGCAGCATTCGTTTGCTGCAAAGCTGTTGCGTGGCCCTACCACATCAAACCTTTCAACAACTTCCGCCTTTTTCTATTCCACTAATTTAAAATCTGCCCAAATGCAAGTTTTTGAGAAACGTACTTGGCCAAAATGTTTTATGTTGTTAACGTTAAAAAGAACTTAGTCTGTTGTATTTGATATCCATACCGCATTCTGTTACAGTAAATGTTGTAACTATTAAAAAAATTTCGAATAATTTTTATGTGCTTTATGAATTTTGGGAATTTTAGGTACACATTACCTTGACTAACGTAAAACTCCATAGGAACTGGCCCTCCGCTATATGTGGCTCTCCTCTCGGCTGCGATGGAGTTGTGGTTTTCGTACATCGTCAGCATATTGTCGATTACGTCGTCAAGCGTTATTAAAAGCACCTAGGTTGAAAAGATTTCCTTTTTTTTTCTTGGTGAAGTGGAATAAAGTTGTAAAACTACACTTATTGCTTTATCAATGAAAATAATAGGATAACAATAACATACTAAAAACGAGTAATAATAAGTTACTAGTAACATTTGCAAAACCTACATGATCGGCGATTTAGGATAACTATTTTCATTTTATTTTAAAACCATTGCATTTCTTTATTTGTTATTAAGTTTACTTTTTTTATGGTTATTATACATACATACTTATTCGTGTGTATGTGCGTTTTAAAAAGAAAAGGACTCTATTGAACTTGTCATTAATATGTCACTATCTGTACGAATAAAATCTTTTTATAACAGTAAATGATTGTCTGTTGGAACCACTATCTTTTTAAAATTATTACCTATATCTTTCGTTAATGATATTTCATTTCACAACTTATTACAATATGGTTAAAAATCATACCTTAAGTTCCTGGACGTGCAGTCTCACGAAGCGCGCCAAATGATCGGTCGCGATATGAATTCGCTCGTTAATCATATACTATGCAAATTTAAGTCAAAGTAAATTTTATGTTAAGATATATTATTGAATTGAGGGTTGTTTTTTGGACTTATGGGTATAACCCATAAGCTATAATTACCTATACCTATAATTTGTAGTCATAATCTACAAATGGCAATAATTTAGCACATTATTTTTTCAGGTTACTGCATAAAACTTGAAGTTTTAATTGTTTATTTATTTGAAATAGATAAGTACTGTTTAGTTAACTTTTTACATCATTAAAATTAAATTTAACAAATTAAACTAAAAAAAAAAACAAAAAGGTAGGATACATATTTACTATAGAGAAGTGAGTGTGGTTTTCAGCTTTGTGTCTATTTTTTGAGTAAAACAATTATTTTCATGGGATAAAAATATTCTATGTTATTCAAGCGAAAATGCTTTTATTATCCGATTCGCAAAGTAGGGCAATGCTTTTCAAGTGTATGTATGTTATCATGTATATCTGTTAGTTTTTTTTATATAATTGTTGATACGTAAGCATGTTAAAATGTATACATGTCAGTACATAAATGTGTATGTATCTATGACTGAGTCTTTGGTGTGACCTGTGGTGAGATTTAACGTATGAGGCGTAATTAAATTCGTTTCAGTTGTCGGTGTGACTTAAAAGAATAGTTGATATTTTTACTACTGTCATCTTTAGATTTTTATATAATAGTTTATATTTGTTTAAAACAAGGTAACCTTCGCATTTATAGTATCATTCGATTTAAATCCCAATATGCCCGTTCCTTTGTACCTTTGTATACTTATTTTTAATACCTGATCTTCCGCAGTCTTGATTCGCATCATTTCGTTCTGATACAGCCACAGATTATCCAGCTTGTCTGTTGGATCGTGGCCGTATATTTCGAAAGCGTCAATAATCATGGCCAATGTCAGGTTCTCGTTAGGCTCCAAGCAGCATGGATGCGAGCGGATGTTGTATGGAATCTAGATTTTGTTTGTATTATTAGGTTATTAAGGTTCCGTACCCAAAGGGTAAAACGGGACTCCGCTGTCTGTCTGTCTATCCGTCTGTCACCAGGCTGTATCTCATGAACCGTGATAGTTAGACAGTTGAAATTTTCAAAGATGATGTATTTCTGTTGCCGCTATATAAATATTTAATTGGGGCTCCCGTACAATAGATAGGATTTTTTTGCCGTTTTTATACAGAACGGTTTTTTTTTAAGTTGCATTCATACGTCGCAGTGAAATTGAAAATTTTACTATTACGCTTTATACTATGTAATGTGGTAAAGGATAAATATTTATTTTTAAGTTATATCGTTTAATGAATTAAAACATACCGTTATCTGTAGCCAGGCCATGCATAGTGCAAACAACACGCAAGCGCGAGTGAACGCGTCCATTTTGCCAGCATGGCGATCAGCGAAAAACGCGCCAAAAGTTGCTACAATCAATTAGCAAGACCAATCTAATAACTCGTTATAAATAATTGCAATTAAAAAATAAACGCAGTTGTAACTGACATCTTTTTTTACTCAAAACTTTCAATTCCAGATTTTTATATTTACCCATATTATGTATTTTTACCTGAGATATTAAAGATTATATAGATTAGTGAGATTTAAAAATATTATATAGATTAATAAAGAACTTGGTACAACAGTGTTTGTTATAAAAAAACATTTTCATTGTTATTGCAAGTAAGAATCAGGCTGGGCTTAAAAGTACCTGTAGAGCAACATCAGTTCTATCTAAATAAAAGCACCTGCTTTAAGAATAGGCCAGAACCGGTCATTTACCAGACCGGAAGGAACACAAAACAAACACCCGTTCGTGCAACAACATATGCTATAGCGTTTCCCTATCACAGTTTAAATAAGATTATTTAACGATGTGTAATATTTATCGCTGAGTACTGTACCTATTGTTGTGAGCATCCATTAAGTTATATATATGCTCAGTTGCCATATCCCTATAAAATAAATAAAAAATATCTATTGAATAATTTGTGTTTACAAAACCTAGTTCACCTGGTTGGCATCTACACATACGAGTAGCGGGAGCATGAAAGAACTTTTGGACTCCTTAAAATACCTCTACCACAGGATAATGTTTCCATGGTAGAGATTATTGCCTTTATAGAAGTCAACGTTAGAATATGTTGAGCTGTAAATATAGTTTTATAACGGCGGCATGTATACGAAATGTTCGTTACTTAGATAAAATAAGGTGCATTGTAACTAGCTTCAGCATATCAATAGCTTTCACCGAAATAACATTAATATTAAAACTGGAGCATTGAAAATATTTATTACTGTAGATGGGGAACTGGTTGGGGAACTGAAAGAGGATGGACTAAAAGAGTTACTAACCGCAATAGAAAATCAAGCTGTAATAATAAAACAAAACATTTTGGAATAACATTTTATACTCATTAAAATACACACCTAGAATTGTCAAATTCATCACAATATATGCGCATTGAATATATTCATAAAACATTATTGCATTTGGATACTTTACTATGAACTTTTTCAATACAAGCGCTACACACGAAAAAAAATTGTAGGACATTTTTAGGAGACAAGCATCTCAAATGTTTATTGGAAGCCCACTTTTTTCTTACCGTACAAGGTGTACAGATCATGGTTTAGAATAATTAAAATATCCAATAATTTAAAATATCGATACATGTACTCATTATAATTGCATAGGTACATTAACTAATAACAATATAACATGTATTTCTTTAATTTATTTGTATAGAAACTAGGTAGTCTGCACACCTTATACATCTTTTGTAAGTTATACATAATTAAGAAAAATATATAGGTAATAAATTTTTAACGCTTTTCATATATCGGAGATTAACGTACTTAATTTAAGACCTATGTTAACACTATGATATGATCAACAACAATATTTTTTAGTTAAGTTAGACATGGAAGACTTCTTGTAGTTTCTTATATACTTTGTTTATCACAAAATCATATACCTACAACCAAAATTCAAACAATCTTATGAAAATTAACCTAAATAAGGATTTAAAAAGAATCAAATGGAACTTATGTTTTAAATCAATATTAAATATATTTAAATATACCTAATCACAAAAATGGGACATTCAATCTAGTTTATTGTTACGTAATTAAGAATGAGACTGTTATTGTCAAATATAATATTGAAAATGCATTATACTAATTGTTAAAATATGTTTACAGAATATTAAAATATTGTATATTTTAAAAACAGATGACGGTTAATTTTATTGTCACATTTGTTGGTTTACATTTTCTACAAAACCTTTATTAGCGTTTCTGAATTTTGCTTTATATTTTTACACGAATACAGTCGTATAGCATCACACCCATCTGGTTGTTCATTTTATATCTATTTATATATTAGCCACGGTGTGAATCACCAATCTCTGCCTCCGTTTAGGATAATAATTTGGAAGACTGTTTCGCAATTACTTAAAATCTTAAGTCCTCTAGATGAAACTGAACGTTTCCACAACAGATCTCCACAGCGATCTGCTTATGCTTCACGCTTAATACAACTGTAGGCCTCTTTTTAATTTTGCGGTACATTTTGGCACTCATGGCCGGTCAATTCCGACGATACCAAGAACACTGCGGCTTACGAAGACTTGAATGTGCCGTGTACCTACTGTGCTTAGCTATGTAAGCTTCTCATTCGCACACCAACACGGATGGGACTCGAAGACTTTAAATTTAACACTTTTAGTTAGATTTGCCAGAAAGGGCTCAACTTGGCAAAAGTGTGGTCAACAGTAACGATCCGCCCGGTGCAATGCTTAACATTTCCTTTAGTCTGTGAAAATGCTCTTCCGTGTTATATGAACTTATGGAATAGGTCTACTGTCTCTGTTCCAATTTATAAAGTTAAAATATTCTTCACGCTTACTGGTTTTGATTTGCTCTTCCGGATATTAATCTTCAACTATTTTAGGGTAGCCTGCCTACCATTAAACGTATTCTAGCTCGTTGGCACGTTGGCTCAGCAGGGCAGACATTACAAGTCTCTTCGGACGTTAAATAAACCTACTCGGTACCGCCACGCTTGCTGTTTGTAATGTGAAGCATAATTCCGTCGCGGTAAAGAGAATATGCAGAAAGTGGCAACAATGGAAGTCTCCTGTATGGCCTGTAGTGTCATCCACAATGGGACCATCGTGACTAACCCTGTAAGAATAGGTAAGTACTACATGTACATGCCCCCAAGCGTCAAGATGCTGAACTACTTTAACGGATCAAAAGCATTTTCAAAACCGACCGAATTAACCGAAATTTATTTACCTTTCAAGTATCGGACATGATCGAGCTCTTTGCTTAGCAGGGGCAGGCTACAGTCCGTATTCCAGATGATCCTCCAGAAAGTATTATGTCTCGCCAGTTATCCGCCTTGACTTAGAAAATCTTTCTCAGGCACAGTTATCAATAACGCCTCATTCCTGTCGCCTAGAAGTCCTTTCGTGGTCCAAATCTTTTATATCATAGGGCTAACGTAAATAGAGGAGGGTAAATCTTCAGCATTGTCCGTTGTTTTTGAGCAAGGTCAAGAATTCCGGAAACTGCCGACCGCCACCAATTTTTTCGATTATTATGACAAATCTATATCCGTTGTATTTCTTTTAGTTCATTCTTTTCAATGTTATCACGGGGTTCCAATAGCCGAAGGTGAAGTTTTCTTCTATCATCAATGAGCGCTAAGGTCGCAAGAACGGACGCAAATAATCCGGTTAGGAATCGGTTTCCTATCCAAGAGGTTATTCCTCGTTGTATTTGAAAGCAGAAATCCAACGCCATATCTGTGCTTAACGCTTATCTTTCCCGAATACTGGATAATCAGTCCACACTTGACTTTTGTTCGTATTAAAGGACAATTTGTATTATTTGACTACACATAACGGTGCTCAATTAACCTGGAGGCAGACCTCCTGTATAGAGATTTATTTTCAACTGTGGATACCATTTCATATTATAAAATACTGTTTTATAAAATTATTATTATATAATTATAAGAAAATTATTTTATAATGTATATAATAGTTAAATATGAATAGGTTTTCCTAAGTAAATAGAAACATAGATTAAAAAAACTGAATTTCAAAAACAAGAGTACACAATTTCCAGAATGTAAAATTTCTAAAATAACCATTTAAGAAACATCTATCTTAAAAGGTATTTGACTTAACAAACTACATAAATAGGGGTATATAATATATGTGGATATACATATATTTATGCAATGCACTTTTAATTTTAATCAATATTATATTTTGTAAATTTTTATCTGGAAGACTTCGTTGTCAAAGTATTATTATAACTTTGATATTGTATGGAAGACATTGGATTATTTTTTTAAATTGCTTGTATATAATATTTCTAATTTACAATTTTATATACATAGAGCTATAAATTGGAAGACGTGCTTCGAATATTATATATAACGCAACAGTAAACATTAATTATTGTTTTCTTAACACCTAATCAAGTCTAAGATAACATTCAATCACATTCGACTAGACAATTAGACTGTGTAACTCGCAATGTCAATGCTTCGAAATAAAATTTGGCGCGTATCTACAAACAATTCAACAACGGTCGAATAAAAATGGCGATTAAAACGGCAAACCTATCTTAAAGGCTTTGACTAGGGCAGAACCCGAGTCGTACATCCCGATTATGCCAAACAGCACGCCCAGCGCAATTATAAAATAGTCGTAAGCGATTGTAGTACTCTCGAGTTGATTGCCTTTCAGCTTGAGATGGAAATACGCGGGCCAAATGAAACTCAGCATAGTCCCGGTGAAGCTGCCGATGAAACCCATGAGTATTGCGAAGTGGGGAATAAATATGGCCATCATCACAGTGAACATTATAACACCCAATCGCCAAGCCAGTCCCCAAACTTTCAACTCGCCGTCCAACGCGTAAATGGTTGGGAAAAGTGTTTTAGGTTTTCCACGAAACAGAGCCCGTTCTAGCAGATCGCATGCAGCGTAATAAGGCAAGGGGTAGCTTAGCACTGCTTTTATGACGAGAAAGAAATTCACGAGCCCCTTAAATCCAGCTGAACGGAGGTTGTTTGTTATAACTTGCTGCGTGTCATTTTGGAAGGTCAAGAAGCACAGGTAGCCAAAAATCGATTTGAAAGCCGCTGCGGCAATATGCGACCAGTTGAGCATCCATTCGAACTTGGATCTATCTTCCATGTTGCCCTCAAGAGTGGGTAAGAATATTTGGGAGGTATACGAGAACACGATGACCCCTAAACTGATGGGGAAGTTCTCGAAATCCAAGTTCCATTTCACCTTTGACCAACCCCAGTCGCCAATGTTAATGATGCAATAGCCGAGTACAATAGCGTTTATGATTAAATGGCTCATGGTGCACCAGAACGAGAGCATGCTGACGCTTTTAAGGGATTTTAAGAAGCCAAGTGGAAGAAGAAATATTCCAGTCAACATCATCCAGGAGCGAGTATCGATAGAACCGTCGGGGAACGTACCTATCATCAGATCACCACAGACGACCACATAGAGGATGCACGTCATAAGGAGCTCAATTATCTGGGCCATGTTAACGACTCTCGCACCGTATTTCCTACCAAAGCACTCCTTGGCGATGGAGACGTATGAATCACGGACTCTGACGCGCTGGCCTGATACTGGGTCATCTTCATATAGGCATTCGACCAAGATCTTTCCAGTGTAGCAGCAGATGTGAGCGATGCCGATCATTGCAGCAATTGCCCAGTAGCCTCCTTGGAGTACGGCAAACGGCAGCGACACCACAAACATACCCTGTGTGAAGAGACAATATTAAGTCACCACGTAAGACATAAATATCTAACATATCAAACAAATTATTTTTTAACGCTTTATCACCTGAATTGCATTGGTAACATTCCAAGCGGCTTGAAATTCGTTAATTTTTGCACCCGGATTTCCTCCACCTTCTTCGAAACCACCTTCCTCGGAAGAAGCGTAGAAATCAACGCTTTGCATGCTCTGCGTTCTGAAATTAAAGTAGATGATTAATCAAACTGATTAGCAATATACCTATTTTTTTTAAATGCAAGTTCATTGACTCAAGAAAAGTTGAGTATGGACAAAAAGATAATAACTGATGTAAAGTTAAGACGGCTGTTTAAACATTTCGTAGGTACCGAAAAATCAGAAATGGTAAGATTGTCTAATAAAAACAGCATAGATGGCGGTAATGCTGAGGCAACATTGGCATTTAATCTTTAGTTGGAGGTTATGGTTCAAATGGTTCAACGTTTCAAGGTTCAGAATAATTAAACGAACAGGGCATCATTCATTTTATCATCATTCATTTTAGCAATTTCAGGCTTTGAGTTCTAACATCAGTAAGCCTTGCGCAAATAGAGATAGTGCAAGATGGACATAGTTAATTTAAACAACTTATTAAACCACTACGAACTTTATTTTCTGATAGCAAGTCGACAATCGTAGTAGCAACGAAAGACCACCATTGTATTAAGTTAGCAAATAACGAACTGTACAAATCAGCTGTGAACTGCTAAACTGATATGATATTAAGAGAATAAGTATGATACATTGTATACAGCTAATGATCCGGTGGCACAGAGCTATTGGCTGCGGCACTGGGAGTCGTGCGGTAGTCGTCCTACTCCGGATAAGTATTTGTGTGACCCACAGATAATGTTTACGGATCTGCGTGTTTATTCCGAAGGAGGGTTGACATCAGGCAGACATAAAATACCAAGCCAATTACATTAACAACACGATTCACATGTTGTGCCAACCCGTCATTATTTGACAACGGAACGGTATTATTTTAATTACGAGCAGAATAAGGACCTCCATTTCAATCGCTAGACGTTGATGACGTTGTGTAATTTTGAACAGCAGTGTTACCACACTATGAAATAGTTTACATTAATTGTTACTAAAATATCTATACCTACTATTAAACTTACCTTTGCGCGCCATCTTGCTGCGGGTACGTATTCTGGTAACTCGTGAAGGAATCTTCAGCCTGTAGTTCACCACTGAGGAACGGGTTTGTGGGATTGGTCGACTGGTAAGTTGGCGATGTCGTTTCATTCATGGTCGATAGTTCGCAACTCTCTCCCATATCTAACGTTGAATATAAAAATAATATCATATAAGCATTAATTGAGAAGAAATTAATCTTCTTGAATGACTAGGCTATTGAAATTGATGAATGTCGTGCCAAACTAGATATATCTAGAAATTTTTCACTTCAAAAAACAACAACTTAGCTGAAACTACCTTTATATAATTTATTACTCTAGTAAGTAATATATTTAAGGAATAAAATAATTAGTGGTTGACCATGGTTTTTGATGGAGGCATGAAACCCACCCAAATAGCAGAAGTTTGGATAGAGCTCATTTTATTCTGTAGCCCTTCTTTTTATTGCAAATTTATCATCGTAAGACATAATATGAATTAATTTTCAAAATGACGTTGATCACGACTAAATAATGTAGGTCATGGAAGTTTATAAAAAAAAAATACTTACCAAGATTCGCAAACCTCACATTCTGTGGCGGGCGCGACGGTTGTCCCTGTTTATCAGGGATTTGTTGTCTGACGGTTTGCATGGCCACGTCCAGCACGTTCTTCAAGGGAGGCATTCTAATCCGGCTCAGATTCATCATATTCACCTTTTATTTACTCACAAATAGTATTAAATATTCAACGGACCTCACTATTTAGGTCAATATCTTGTATAGAATTTTCGTTTAGAAGCTCAAAACTTCAAAAATTGACTTTACTGAAGACTGATTTACATAACACTATATTTTGTATCTAACTTACGCTATATCAATATTACATCTAATTTGGAAGACTTGTTTTCACTATCACCGTTTGAAATTGTATTACATTATTGTTTCAATTCACTTCCCGTTCCGAGACGCTCTGCCATTTTTATTTTTGTAATTTTCTCCTTGCGCCTCGTTTCACTACGTTTGAATGTAATATTTCGCGCCTGATGTACTCTTTCTATTGTTAGATGGAATTTGAGGTTTCAATTTGAGTTTCTAACATTTTAAAATTGGTTTTCATTTGTGCGACGCTTGCTCGGAACGGTATCCGCTCTGTGGGAGGACCTCTTGGCCGTATGCGGCGCGGAAATGTTGCGCGGAGAGACGATCGATAGGGAGCCACAAACTTTTTTCTTGGCACAATAACGCGCCCCGTAATAACCGAATATAGGTTATTTGCTCTGAAGGTGAACACTTCTTTTAGTACGAGAGATTCCATTATTGAATCCAATGTAATCTCCTTGAATCTTGGACTAAAATGGCAGGCCTTGCTTTGTACAAATATAAAATTTGCAGGAAAATTTAATATTTATCTTTTAATATTTATCTCACTGTTCAGTATCAACTTTACGCAAAACAATTTCATAAACCTTGTAATTACCTAAAGAAGGGTGTCGTAATTAAATATGTGTTAAAATGGAGAAACGGATGACGCATTGACTTAGCTGGTTCCTTCGCCAACTCCATTTGCGTGTCATTGCCAACCCTCCATGAGATTAATTGTGAGTTTCACAAATAGTTTCCGAACTGCACGAGTTCGGTAAATTTTGTGAATAGACCAACATTATCTTCTGCACTTTGTATAAGGTTATTAATATGTAGTGGAACTTGGAATTTATGGGCCGATCATGGTGCGAGTCCTGATTAGAAACTTCACTGAAATAAATCTGTGCACGATTTATTTAACCAGCATTGACCGGGTCTAGTATAGATAAGCGTCGTATTTCCCAGAAAGTGCTTAGGTCCATTGAAAATGTGGCACCATAATGTGCGGCCGCTGAGGTTGGCAACCAAAAAGTTTTTAGTGTGTCCTGCATAGCAGCGTCCCTCCAGAAAATAAAAACCTTTCCAATTTTAGCCCCTGACGCTGAAAAACTTGATGTCTTAAGAGGCACATCGCTTTCGAATCAATAGTTGGCAGAAAATTATCATAATCGAATCTTTAATGGAAATGACAATGTAGGTATATAAAATGTGTATGACAATGTAAAACGAACAAGCTCAGTATCATTTCTTATGTCGAAGTTTTCTTAGCCATCTGTAAGCTTTTTCTTGAGTAATAATTGGATTCGTTTGTACGGTAAGAGTTTTAGAGGCTGCAATTTATATTTTTTATGTTAGTTGTACGTAATTGGCAGTTATCGTTGTAACTTTATGTATACGTTGTCGAGACTTACGTGACCATGCGTGGACGTCGTGGTACATTGTTATTATTTTTTACTTTTTATAAATTATCGGTAAGAACGTTTAGGCCCAAGTTTTATTTTTATTTTTGGTTATAAGGCTGACTTATATACAAAACGTTTGTGAACTCTACCTTTGGTTTTAATTTTAGTAAAAAAATAAAAATTATATTAATATTTAAGTAAAATAAGAAGATAACTGTAAGCTCAGACACGTTTAGAATGATATTAGTTTTAAATGTAGACCAAAAAATTTAAATAAATCATCAACTGTTTAGGTCAGCCTTTATAAAGTATCGTTATTTAATGCATTACACTGCATTTATTGTATTTAAATTCAGTACTTATACTTCAGTAAGCACCAAGCAACAAATTATGACGTTCTAGTATTGAACGTACTCTTCTTTCTCCTCCCCTTATCCTTTGCACACTAAGTGAGGTCGGCATATCATGTCCATCGTTTGTTATCGGAAACGTGATGTTATTTCATTTATTGGCTTTATTTTTATGACCGGCCGCCTGCCTGACGTCAACCCTCCTTGAGAATTCTAGCAAATTTATATTTATCTAACCTTAAATATTTTGTAGTTAATAGATATTTTATAACTAATACAGGTTCGAAACTAAGTAAAATGCACTCACGTAATAATTTCAAAAAGGAAACTGGCTGTCCTGATCGTTTTATTCTCTTTAAATGCAGTTCAAAACAATAATTCAACTAGCATTGGACGTACGTTTCGTAAATTTTCTAGGAGTCGTATAATATCCAGAACCATCCATGTTGTCAAGAGCCAAGCGAAAACATTACGCTCAGCATGATTATCGATGCTTACGAGATATATGGGCACGATCCCACGGACAAACTCGACCATCTTGCTCACTATCAGATAGAAATGATGAAGATCAAAAGAGCACCGGATCAGGTACATAACATTTTCCATAGCCTTATGGTAGAGCTTCGACGTAGATCCTTCTGGAAGAACCAAACAAGCGCTTTTACTGATACATGTATGGAAAGGAGAAGCGAAAAAGGTATAAAGTAAAAGTAAAGTAACAGCCTATACATGTCCCACTGCTGGGCAAAGGCCTCCTCTATACAGAGGGTATCAGGGCATAGTCCACCACGCGGCCCCACTGCGGATTGGCGGACTTTTCACATATTTTCGAAATACATTTTTTTTTGTTATTATTTCGAAAATATGCAGGTTTCCTCACGATGTTTTCCTTCACCGCGGAGCACGTGATAATTCAGCACTTAAAGTTAAAAAACTCCATTGGTGCCGGCACCGGGGATCGAACTCAGGTTGCTCGAGTATATATTGAATTAAAGGCGAGCGCCCGGACACTGAGCTATCACGGCTCTAAGTAGAAGTACTAATATTTTTGCATTTTGTTTGACGAGTGAGATACGCGGTATATTTTCGCAATGAGTTTGCAACCTCTCAGGTGTTGTAGATCTATGGCGATCACTCAAAATTTATTTAATTAAATTAGGCTTAAGCCAATTCTCGTATACAACTTTCTCACATTAAAATACTACAATTGAGACAGTTCATAAATTTTTTCTTACTTAATTCCGATTATATGTGAGAAATGTGAGATTGAGGTCAGATAGAAGTTAATAAAAGCACTAGATGGATTTTGGGTATTAAACATTTTGACGACCCAATCGGTGTAGTGGGTCCTCTTGCGCCAGAGGGTATGGGTTCGATCCCCACTACTGGAAAAATATTGTGTGATGAACATTGTGTTTTTCTTGTGTGTGGGTGTTTATATGTCTATAATAATTATTTATTTACAAAAGAAAAGTACGTTTAAGTATGTTTATCAGTTACCTAGTATCCATAGTACAAACTTTGCTTAGTTAGGGACTAGATAACGTGGTGTAAAAATGTGTTGTGAAATATTTATTGCGGATGTTTAAAGGGCTGAAAAAGGTTTTTTATTACAGTTTTTAATCAACGAACACGTGCATATCGCTACCGATCATTTGGGGAGGTTTATTAATTTACACATCAAAGAGCTGAAGGTAAGATAGTAACTTGAATTTTGTTATGTCATTTTTTCTTTCTTTCAATATTTAGTTATATCGTATGGTATTTTTAAGTTCATGATCAACCACAATAAATGTATAAGAAACATAAATACCAATGACGATTTTTGATAATTATTTAAAAATGATTTCAAACATTTTCGTATTTAATGTGTAATATACATTGTTCGGGTACTGGTCTGTTTAAGAACGAAAATTTATATTCATACATAAATTATTATTATCGTAAAATAACTCAAAGTTAGAGATTAAGTTATTGCTTTGTATTTTATTACAATTTGAGTCCGTGTCAAGGATTTCGTCGCTTTTCAACCGACTTCAAAAGGAGGGGGTTCTCAATTCGAGTGTTTTTTTTTATGATTATTTTTTTTATTTGAAAGCTGGTGCTTTCAATGTGGTCCCATATTAATTTCATTGCCACTGGATCTTGGGCTCCGGAGATACTTAGGGAACCCCTGAAAATCAATTATAAAATGAATACAGAGCGAGATATTTGAAGTCAGTTTTGTTTTTCGTTAGTAAAAAATTTATTAAACTAAAAATAATGACAGAATTATATTTTTGCAGTGTGTTTGTGATAATAATGCCTGGGCATAAGCCCGGGATATTAAATAAGATATTAAATTTGTAGGTTTTGTTGATAGCATTAGAAGATGCAATAGACAACATGTTAACCATGTATGACAATCATAACGCTATTAAAACAGAGAGAGTGGCAACGTATAACACGGCAGCGGGTGGGGCCGTGCCATCTGAGTTTTATTTGAGTCAAGGTAATGTCTCAAAAACCATAAATTACAGATTAGATAAATTCAGGAATAAATCAATTAATTTCGAACACTGCTGCAGAAGGAAAACGAAGCTAGTTATTCTTATTCGTTCTTATTAAGTATAAAACTCCCGTACAGAGGGTATAAGGGGATAGTCAAATACACGAGAATTGACAGACTTCACATAGCTTCATAATATCTTATTGCTTATTGCCATTTTGAAAATACAAAGTTTTCTTAACGATGTTTTCCATCGCCGGCTCCCGTAACCCCAACCAGATTCTCAGCGAAGCAACGCGTAAGTAGGTACTAGGCATTGTTTAACTCAAGGAAGTCTCATCGTGATGTCCAGTCGATATTGATTATCCATGAACTAGATTCAGTCCACAGGCCAGTACACACATATCGTATCCACATAAACAATTTAAGAAAGAAAGCCGCATTTGTTTCCGGACAATATCTCCCAAGGCTTGCATGTATTTTCAGCACATTCCTTAAGTTCTATTTAATTCCCTTTCGTGTATAAAAATCTGCACCAATTAATAATACTTGTTTTCACGTTTTCAGAATACTATTGCGGCAAAAATGTCTACCTTTTTGTATCTGAATTATATAGTGATATATATAATATGGGCAAAGGTCCGGCGCCATACTGCAAGAGTCGAGGGTTCCATTTCCTCGGCTTTGTGCATTTTATGGACGAAAATAAGTATTATCTGGAAGAGGATCCCAGCATTGTGTTTCAGACGGACAATTATATTCACGGCCTGGAGTGCCACCTTGGCATTTGCATTTTCAGGTGCGTAGATATTTTCAGACCATACATACACAAATATATATAGGACTAACTGTGCCCGCGACTTCGTCCGCGTGGAATTTAAAATAAATAAAGTTTCTTAAATAAAAGTAGCCTAAGTTACTCCTTGTTACATCAGCTATCTGCCAGTCCTGTCAAAATCGGTCCAGCCGTATCATAGATTAGCCGGAACAAACAGACAGACAGACAGAGATTAATTGTAAATAATGTTATTATGGTATATGTACAGTGTGTACATCCATTTGCATGTAGTAAAAAGCGGTTCATTTAATATTACAAACTGACGCTCCAATTTTATTTATCTGTATAGATTGATCTTTGTGTGGAGAGTTAATCGCAATGATACCTCTTCTACCGCGGTACCACTTCTGCTGAATTAGCAGCAGCGCAAGAGTAGTAAAAATTGTCTGAAGGTTGTTTTATAAAGATCAAGTTATTGCTTTGATTAGTTGTTATCCTTAATTGTAGTGTAAAGACTATTCATTTAGAACTTTAAAAATTATCTGATTAATGCCACGGGCATTGATGATAAAGCGATGGTAACATTTAATATATAGTTTTAACTTCACAATGAAATTCAAAAACGCTGTAATTACTCTGTACGTATTATTTACAGGTTCCCGTTCAAAAAGAACTTGCAACATATACGTGACGTGTCCACCTTGCCCAAGGCAATTATCAAATGCGGCACTGACATGTACAAGTTACCGCCACTGACTGCAGCGTCCTGTATCATCACCTCAGGCTCCTTCATCCTCGACTTCAACATTCAGGGCATGCGATTCCGGCATTTCGACTATCTGTTGGTATGAAAGTTATCTTCACTTTATTACTACTAGACAACTACTTTATTATTACTAAGTTTCGTACCTGTATTACAACTTATTTATTAAGACAAGTGGTCGCCCAATGGTCGAAATTCGACCATAATTAATTGTATATGGTAGTGTTTTTTTACGCATAATTAAAAAAAATATTAGCATTCTGCACTCCTGTATATAATCTAAAAGTGTGGGAAATTTCATACACCTTCGCCCGCGCAATTTTCGTAAAAAAGGGTATAAAGTTTTTGCTTCATGCATTAATATATAATAGAGACATGCTATATCAAACGTATGCCTTATTTGTGAAGAAATGTTTCGATCTTACTGTGGTAGGGCGATGTCACAGTCTTCGCTGTTGCGAGAATGGGCAGGTCCGTCTGCGTTTCGTTTGGTGAGCGAGCTGTGAGCAGCTGTGACGCTATGGGTCTTACAAATGTCAACGGGCGGCGGTTATCAAATAACATCAGGCCTTCTCACGTAAAAAGATTATGCTATTATTGATAACTAAGGTCTGTAGCCTACCTCTCATCATGCTGCGATTTTAACCCAGTCCGAGTCAGTAGAGCCTGTAGGACTTTGTTTTTCTTCCCCATGACGTTGATTTGATCCAAAATTTCTTTTATATTGGCCATGTTACAACTGCTCTTAACTTCCACCATCCCTCTGCTTTGGACCGAAGACTATGTTGTCATAGTTCTAATCCTTGACACCTGAATAAGTAAAGCGAATCAGCAAAGTTAAAATTTGTTTTTGTACAAGCGTTTCATCGATGCTACAGTACAGATCGCTTTCGCGCATTAAAACTCAAATTTTACATTAACAATTTATCAAATTTGATTGACGTAAGTAAATAATTTTGAATTGACTATGTATCAGAGAAATAATTCAACACGTTTCTTCTGCTATCCACTACTTCTAGATTCTTCCCAACGGTCACACATATTATACCAAAGAAAGGTATTCGCCGTTAGTTTGCGACCACCACGTCTGCGAGTGGAATAACACGAACTTTTATGGAGGTGAGAAAGCTGACCGCATTAAAAGCTTGACCGTAGAAAAAAAATGTTTGTAGTGAAGCACCCTCATCACTTAGGGGTATTAAAAATAGATTACGACCGATTCCAAATATATACATAAAATTTCACAAAAATCGATCAAGCCGTATGGCGAGGAGTATGGCAACTAACATTGCGACACGAGAATTATATCTTTATATATATATATATATATATATATATATATATATATAATTCTTCTGTACGTGTGTATGTCACTGAACTCCTCGTAGACGACTGGACCGATTTTAATGAAATTTTTTGTGTTTTCAAGTCAATTCGAGAATCATTTAGATACACAATTCGGTCCACTACTTTTATTTTTATTCTATGTTGTCGAATTTAAGTTGTGTGTATAGGACAGCGTCTGTCCGGTCCGCAAGTATATATATATATATATATATATATATATATATTTTCTATATATACAGGGAGGTTTTTCTAAGTGTATCCATTTTTTTCAATTCAATTCTACATATAAATAATGTTACATAAAAATGATAAATATTTCAAATCACTCGTAATTAATTCATTACATTCATTTTAATTTATCTCAAAATGTGCGTGATTTTTGGGCAACTTATTTATTGTATAATTGTACGCGCGATCATTCATAACTAACAAGCACAAGTCCGTTTTAAAAGTATACGAGGCATTTATGAATGACTACCGCATTGTCGAGTTCTGTTTTTTTGGGGAAAAGAATGGCAATTTTTCGAAATAAAAAAGTTTGTTTTTATTTCAATAAACGATTACACTACAGAGTCTGAACCTCCTGTGTGAATTTGGGCACCTTTAGAAAACTCACCCTGTATGTATGGATCATAAGATTGTAGGTTAATGTTTCAGGACCGTTCATAATTCCCGGTGATCCTGGAACAGGTCTCTCTCCTATTCCGCCATTTATTGAGCAAACCACCGAAGCATTCACCTCGCCTTCGACGGAAAATCCCAATGAGTTCAATCCAAATATTACGTGTAAGTACAATATAATTTTATTTGTGTCTATAGTAATAATAAAACGCTATATACCATACCTTTTCCTATCGAAGTAGAGCCACACAGCTTCCATTCGGCTGTTGCACTTGTATATAGTTTTTCGTCCGGAGAGAAACAAGGCCGCACAGAAGACCAGTGAATAGAATCAATCGTTCTTTCGAGTGAGGTAGCTAAAGGGCTAAAGGTTGTGTTGATCCATGCACAGCCGTCTGCTCGTCTGTCATCCTCATTTATAAATAAATATCCGGCTTTTCACTTATAGTAATCCGAGTATCCAATTGATTTTTAATTTTACCTATCATGAGACTTCCCTTTCGCTATGGAAATATAAATATAATACACGAATACAGGTACATTCTTAGAGCATAGGTATTGTTTTATTAAACGACCACTCTCTAATATATAGATATATATTTCGCGTTGCATCTTTCTATAATTAATGAACACAAACAAACGTATTAGACCTTTGTATATTTATAAAATTACTACTCTCAGATACATTGGACGGCTGTTGGTTCATGTTCCCGCCGAATTACGGCTCGATAGCGGGTATCAGCTACCTAGACCCGCTAGCCGTCAACGAATACCGCTACACGTGCCAGGGATCCGGGAATAATAAGGTAAGTTTAAAAGGCTGCTGAAAATAATAGTTTTTTTTTAAAATTCAAAACAAAAAAAATATTTTGTCTTGTCTTTGCGTTAGAGGCAGCTATTTAAACGTCTAGGGAGATGACTTTTAAGACATCATCGAGTGGAATGAAAAAATCGGTTTGTTTTGTATTAGGGCTTAAGCCATAGGCATAGTCCACCACGCCACCCCACTCAGCAGACTTCACTTTTCTCCGAAATATTTTCTTTGTTATTATTTGCAAATTTTAAAATATGCAGGTTTCCCCTTTTCCTTCATCGCAGCTTGAATTGCAAATAACATAACATTTTTTTTGTTAGCAATATTGAAAGGAGTGGCCTTCATGTAAACATTATTGTATTCTTTATTTCAGGGATTGTACTGGTATCCGCAATGGATGGGCGCTCCACCCCACCATCCTTACCCACAGTCGGGTGACCTGCCTGTGCAAATGGGCCAAGGGCCCTCGGGTCCTTTCTACCCACACCTACAGGGGGCTGTACCGCCTAAAGTGAACGGCAATTAACAATAAATGTTCAAAAACCATAATGTGTGTATTTATTTAAGACACCCGCCTATGTCCATACTCCGCTGTGAACGGGTTGACGATCTATAAACTTAACATGTAAGTAACATATTTATCATTTCTCTATAATGCCTCAATTTCTATTTAGTTAACTGTTAACTCGTAACAAGTAATTACTTAATATTTAGTTAACTGTTAACTCGTAACAAGTAATTACTTAATTACTTGTTACGAACCGGGGCTTCGGGATCGGTGTGAAACGGTCGTTTGAATCTTCATTTTCATTACTACACAAAAACGTGCATAACGGCCCACTAATCATCATCATCTTGGTCTTCTTGAGTCCACTGTTGAACAAAGCGCTCCCAGAAGGGCACAGACTGCCACGGAGCTCGATCCCGAGCCACCTACATCCATCGACTTCCCGCACACTTGCACAGGTCGTCACTCCATCTAATGGCCTTCGCCCTCTGCGATCGCCAGTACGAGGCCGCCATTTAACTGACCTCTCAGTACCGCCCAAATCTTCCCTACTACAGCGACCAATCTCTCCTTGTGCACCAATCCTCCAGTAACGCGATTGTCGACGCCCTCTCGTTGTCGCACCAATATTCACGAAATCTTCTACAGGTGCAACGGTCTACACGCTACCTAGCCTCCGCGTAATAAAAAAAAAATAAAATCATATCGTACTATTTAGAGATATTATGAATGAATTTATTATATACTAGCTTTACGCCCGCGGCGCCGCTCGCATGTACAAAATTTTATATCGTGCTTAAAATGTACTAACGGAACCCTTCGTGCGCCTCGCAATTGGCCGATTTTTTAAAATTTTTATATAAACTTACAATCATAATCATTTTACAGATCATAATATATAGTGACATCCAATTCAACTGTAGCTTTTATATAGCATTTCATCGTAAAAATGTTCATTGCGGTTCTTTAAATTGATATAACTTTTTTATTTATGAACCGATTTAACAATGCATTAGTGAAAGTTGCACCCAAATCGGTTAAGCCTTTTCTGAGATTAGCGAGCACAAACGCACAGACAAAAAATTTTACAATCATTGTTTTGGTTTTTACTGCGTTGATAAAGGCCTTCAATAACAGTTTTTCTCTAATATCTTCCATGTACAGACAAAGATCAGTAAAATTTTTATTATATGTATAGATATCAATAGTTGTTTTCCTTTATAAATCTGTTTTTTCTTTGTGATGTGTATATACGTTACTATTTAGTAAGAATATTTATTTATTATATATAATTGTTATATAATAGTCCTTATTAACGTGTATACACTCCCAGAATTCTTATATTAAAATAAGCCTGTAAGAAATCGCTATTTCAGCGATAAGGCCACGCTTAGGACAGCCATTTTTTAACCTTTCTAAATTTATGTTTTGTTAATGCTTCTTTTGTTATGGTGTTAACAATGAAGTGTATAAATAAATATATAAAATGAATTTAATGTGATCAACGGTGAAAAGGTTTACGATTTTTTATAATGTAAGTACGAAATTATTTTTATGTGGCAAGCCAGCAAGCGATCACCAGAAGTTGAAATGATTACGCTTCGCTCATGGATATTCTGAGTAATATCTGTAATCTTTTAAGTGGAATTAAAGAAGGAAAGTAAAAATAAACTGAAGAAAAACTCTTCTAGGTCTTCTGTAAGGCCGTGGGTGGTACCCCAACAGAATCTACCCATTTATGCAATAGCAAAGGCAGCAATTATAGAGTTATATATTGACTACGATAAATATATTGCTACTGTAAATGGGTTGGTCTTCGTGTACCTATAGAAAAACTTAAAGCTGTGGAAAGAAACGGAAACGAGTACAATTTTTAGCAACTTTAATTCATATTCTTAATAATCATAATTTACAAAACATAACGGGGACCGCAACAATCCAATATAACGCGACGGAAGATTGCGGTCGTGGAACTAAATAATTTTTCAATAAAACATCGTAAAGACTAAACATGCGGCGAAATTACACTGTGCATGTGATCGGTGTTGTTAATTTAAAAAAAAAACCCTAAAATAACGCATGCTATCTCCCGTGTAAAGTACGAGTAACTGTTGGGAAATAGCATGCGTCTCAAAATTTTAACTAAACTTATTGCACAGCAATATTACAATTGTCATCGTAACGAAAAATGTCCGTAACACTAGATTATCATAAAATATATTGTCCCTACAAATACTTTATCATCTACTAACATTAATTTGACCATGATAGTATAAGCGAACTACGTCTAGAATTACCTATTTATATTGATAGAAAAAACTTCATAATATATTATGGAATATCACACTTGTATGTTACCGCGGTAATAATTTTTCTTTTTTACAATAATGAAAGCGCGCATAACCTTAATGACCGACTTCGCGAGTTGTTCACATGTATAGTCGAATACAAAACTTACAAAGGTCGCTTATAGAAACTATTAAACATCTATAACATATGTTCAAAAAAACTGATTAGCAACGTTTTTCGCGATTGTACAGCGACGCGTAGTGGGGTAGTATTGCTTTCTTTTTCGCGCCAATGATTAAATGAGTTAGCGCGAAAGAGATAGCAATACTCTCATTAAAGTTTTGCGCGCCTTATATAATACGGTAACCTAATGAACATCGCATTACGCATCAATATTTCGACTATTTGTTAAACTTTGTATGACATTGTAATAAAATATACGAATATGATTTCGAGTTGTGAATTACATTCGTGACAAAATTATTTGCAAAGAAATAAGGGACAGATGTTAAAAAAAATAACAAAGAAACAAGGTACGAGGTGTAGGAATCTCCTTAACTTTACTGGAACAGAACATTAAATGCAATAAAAAGAGAGTATAATAGATGGTTCAAAATAATTTTTGTTTATCGATGTTAACGACTGTACTTAACAAATATCACTTGAAGTTATGAATTTATCAGTTAAATAATCTTCAAGTATCTATTGGCGTCTAAAATTTTCGTCATGTGTATCTTGTTTTCCTTTTCTTAAGGGCGAACATCGTTGCTTGTATCGTTAAGTAGCACGTTAAGTTAAAAGTACAATATGTATGCATCTTAACTTAAGCGATAAGTTACGTTAGTGCCATTTTAAATATGATATCTGGGTATTAGCTCTCAGGGAATTTGTTAGTGCCAAATTGTTTGTTAGCAACTAAATCATAATAAAACGATAAATATCATACGGAATATACGAGTTAAGTAAAAACATCTTCTGAATGAAAAAGTGTTAAAGTCAAGTAATTTCGTGATGGCTGCGAGTTATTTTGCGATGTATTGATTTTATTTAACCCTAAAACCTCCAAACAAATAAGAAACGGAGCATTACAATAGGCACAGATAAAGAATAACGAGAAACAATCTCATGTACTATTGATATACAATACAGCGTGTACTTGTATAGTCTGGATAAAATCGACGTTACACTATCTATGTCAATATGGCCGGAACGGTTTCGGGTTGGATTCAGGCTTTCTGGGCGACGGGCTCGTCTATTTCGAACTCCTTCTCCCAACTCTCGTCAGAGTTTGCGCTGGCGTCGTCTTTCACGTCCCTGTCGGCGAAATAGTCTTCGACCAGGTCGTTCCCGCACTCGTCCGGCTTTCCCGCCCTTTTCGGCGAGCGGCCATTTTTGTTCCTCTTGTCTATGGCCTGATTGTCCAGTTCGTCTTTCAGCGATTGCGGTTTCGCGTCAGCGTTGTTGTTTATGAGGTCCCGCGAGGAGGAGCGCCTATTGGTCTTCTTCGACGTGATCTCCTTCTCGTACTCTTCTAGAAGCAGTATCTGCTGCTCCTCGGTTAGTTCGACGTCGTGTGCGAAATCTTCTGCGGGTAATTTCAGATGGCGTTGTAACGAAAAACAGCGATAGAACAATAGTAGTAAAGAAAGTTCGATCACAGATAAAATATGGAATTATTTTTTTTTATAAATGTAATTGATAATTTGGCAAGTTACTTCGTGTTAAGTTTACCATGTGAGAGCACAAATACTTTAATCCGGATAAAGTACAGAAGTTTCAATAGCAGTTTTAAAACTTTATAAAAAAAAAATTAAATTCAAATAAAAAATTACAATCCGTGTAAGTTCGGTACATGAGATGGGATAGACAATTTTGTGTTCGTAACAGTTATTGTGAACTTGTTGTGTTATTTTACGTTGGACGAACCTTCTGCTATATTATACAGGGAGGCTTTTCTAAGTGTATCCATTTCTTTTAATTAAATTCTAGACATAAATAATGTTATATAAAAAACGATAAATATTTTAAATCACTCAGAAGTAATTAATTACATTGGACTTATCTCAAAAAGCGCGTGATTTGTGCGCAACTCATTTATTTTACGCAAGATCATTCATAACTAACATCCACACAAGTTCGTTTGTGTGCGTGAACAATAAAATTTAGATTTATTATAATTTATGAATGACTACAGCATTATCAACAAGTTCTTTTTTAGGGAATAGAATGGGATTTTTGTTTACATTTCAATAAACGATTATACTACCAAGTCTGAACCTCCTGTGTAAATTTGGACACCTTTAAAAAAGTCTCCCTGTATAAGATATATTTTAAAGTGCCAAAGTAGCTTTTTAGTAGAGAAGCCGTTAGTTCTACTCCTAAATAACAGATAGCAGCACTCCTATACGATTTTCACTCACCATCTTCCCATGCCACAACGTTGTTTACGTCTTTTTCATAGGGTATATCAAGGTCCAATCCAGAGAGAACTTTCTTTGGGCTTCTGAAAATAAAAATACCATGGTTGGATAGGTTCCACTTAACCGTACAGTTACGAAATACATAGGTATCTTTCATTTTTAATGTTACAATTTAAGTGGGATTAAAAGGGTTAATAACTTCATTAGTTATTTTATTTAATGTCGTGACATTAACTTTAACGTAAATTAGCTTATCTGCCTTTTATGAAATAAATTCGCATTATTAAAGTATTTTATTATTCATTTATATCACAATTTCCATGTATGCAATTCAGCTTGTATTAAGAGTGCCTATGGTGCAATCTTATTGATACAAGATTTCGTGTTCTTCAAATTTCGTGTACTATATGAAAATCCTTGTGCGTTGCCTTATATCAAGAAATCGGCATGGAAAATCATATTATTATATTTTTGTAAATTCCATAAAAAAACTAATTCAAATTGTTCTGTTCTAAGGTAAAATATATAAAACTAGAATTTTGTTGCGTTAATTATGAAAAAACTTTCAGTGTTTTAAGTTATACTGTTTACTTTTCATTTATCTATCTAACAGTAATGTGTTCTAAGTGAATTTGATTTGGATATGGTATATGGGGATGGAATTACATGATATAGGAAAAAAGGGGTTGTGAACAAAAATAAAATTTTGTATCTAAATAAAACAAGCATCTAGTGGAGAAGTTGTAAGAGTATATTAAAAAAAAATACACAAAGATATTCTAGACAAAGATTGATTGTTAAGACAAATACAATATTTAACAATAATAAACAAGAAATTAATATAAGAATAAAAAAAATAACTGAACTATATATTTAACGTATACACAGAACAAGCCCTGTGCGTCAATTTATTAAATGCAAAAATATGATGGCGTAATTCTTATGTATATTATTGAATTTGACTACTTAAGTCAGTCCATAATTTTTCTTGCTAATATCATTTAATATATAGAAGAAAAAAAAGCATGATATATAGAATATGAAGTGTCATAATTTTGGACTGGTTTTATATAGTTTTGAATGTATGAATTAACTAAATTTTGTGTTTTGTAGTAATAAATACTCGTAATCGCCCATTGGTGAAATTTGAAGATAATTTTTATTTCAATATCAAAATGGCTTTTAAGTTCTTCTGCGGCAATCTTTATTCTGTGCAACTTTTTTAGAACGACTGAACTATGAAGTATAAAAAAAATGTGTGGTCTTATGGATATATGAAATAATCACAAAGCGAAAGTAAAAGAAAAATATACTAAAAAGGAGAGACAGAAAGACAGTAAAAAGTAAAGACTATAATAAAAATGGACACTGCGTACTTTTAGATTTTACAAAGAAAAACATTAAATTTTAAACAGTTACAAAAGGCAGTTTGAGCATGTTTATGAAATACTTCTCCCAAGTTTACCCAAAGGTGAAATATGTGCACAAAATGAAAATAGCATATTTCCAAATATGGCTGGAAGAAAAACGAATTGACAGGAACAGTTATTGCAACCGGTTGGTTTATTACAGCTTGAAGAAATAACAGTCAATGTTGAATATTTATTGAAATATGTCAAAAAATATGATGAGGCTGTATGGAGAAATCCTAAGCCTGTAAAGTATAAACAATAATAAATTGTCACTTGTTTTTTTTTTTGTCAGTTAACATAAGGAAAAATGGCAGGCATAACTAATGATGAATAGCCTGTATGGACAAATCCCAAAACGTAAAACTATATTAATAACAAAGTGGGGCTATATGAAAAAATGTCAGGCATAACTAACGATGAATAAATCTGTATGGAGAAATCCCAAGACTGTTAAACTACAATAACAATAAAGTGGGGCCATATAGAAAAATGACAATATAAAAAAATTATGAACAGTATGGTATAGGCAAATTGCAAGACATTAAGCTATAACCATATTAATGAAAAAAAAAAAAAAAAGTGCATCCCTTTGAAAGAGGACGACGACAGCTACGAGCGACGTACACCTGGACCATGGCACTTACTGCTGTATCGGGCGCTGGGGGGGCAGGTGGGCGAGCACGGGGTCGGCGGCGGGGGGCGGGGGCAGCGCGGGCGAGCGGGACGCCGCGGCCAGCCGGTCCTGCAGCAGCGCAACGCGGAACAGGTACCTGGGGGGGGGGGGGGGGGGGGGGGGGGGGGGGGGGGGGGGGGGGCGGATCTCAACACCGACCGCTGACAGGCTCCCATAGGCCTCGGCTGCAGCGCGAATGTGCGGGCCCGTCCGCGTAAGTGCCACGACCTCGCGGAGGACCGGCCGAGTGGCAGTGTAATGCTTTATTTTCGTCTGGTGGGTTCACTTAACATCAGGTGAACTGCCAGCTCGTTTGGCACTTTGCCACATAAAAAAAAACACTATGTATCCTTTGCTGTTTACTAAGACGTGCTGTGTGGTAGCGGTGTGCTTGTAAACCAAGGCTTGTAATTTGAAGACATATATGATTTTGGAAAACTGATGTTTGAGTTTTAATTTCTAGAGACACTTGTCTATAAGTTCAAAATAGAGAAACTAGAGGTGACTCCATCCGCACATATATCCTTGACTCCGGATCGGAAGACATGGCCTTGGTAGGCCTCTTATAGGACGGACCGACGTCATCGTAAGAGTCATCGTTGTATGTAGATGGCAAAGCAACTGATACTGTTATTACGTTGGAGTCACACAAACCGAGTCATGGTATTGCATAAAAAGCTCTGAGTGCCACGGCCTAACTGAAGATTGGCGTAAAGTGTTTTTAAACTTGATGACTCCGTGGCGCAGTTGTCAAGGCTTCGGCGTCGAGGGTCTTGGGTTCGATCCCCACACGGTACAACTATTTGTGTGTCCCACAGATAGTTGTTCCGCATCTGGGTGATTATACTCGTGAAATTTATGTTTGTAAAACGTCCTTGCAACACAGGATAATGTTACCCTAAAGTAAGGGCAATGTTTAATAACAAAAAAAAAATCCGTTGTCAAACATCTACTACCTTCATTATGAACTCTCACCTCTCCCAAAACTCCTCGTGGGAGACGGCGTCGGGCACCAACTTCTCGTACTGGGCCTTCAGAATGGGGTTGGATTCGAGCCTTTTGACCGCCGAGGCGGGCCTTATGACCCCCGCCTCAGTATTCTCCAGGCTGCCGCGCCAGGCCTCGAACTCTGGACTGTACGCCGGCACGATGTATGTAGCGTCGACTCGCTGTAATGCCTCCAGCTCTTTCTGTGGGTTTATAGTTGCATGTTTTATTTCTTTGATGTATTGTATAAGAAATAGCCCCGGTAACATTTTAAAAGCTTTAAAATACAATGGGGATAGTCCTAATTTTAAATACTGGAATAATTTACATATTTGACTTTGTAACATATTTTTGGGTTAGTTTACATTTAAAGCATGCTAAAAATATATCACAAAATTTTGTTAGAGTTATGCATGTAATTACTATGATACAATACTATGATCTGACGAAATTATTAGGACTATGATACTGAGAGTATGGGTTAATTAGTTTGCAAGAGTATAAATTTAAATGGAATATGTATACAAAAAAAACGATTCTAATGGTCCAGTAAGATGAGAAGGTACATTTACACACCTTGTATGTGGACAACATAGTGGTATCGCCCGAGGACAAAATTACTTCGGTGTCATCCTCGTCATCTGGTTCTGGGTTCAAAACGGTGCTGACTTGGCCTGCAAGTATAATCCCAAACCATTCATAATCATAAATGGGAATTATTCAGATAATTACTTTTAATGATGAATATGGTATTCCATAACAGAGAGATATATAGAAATTTAGCTACAAACTATTTATAACATAATATATGTCATTTAGCTTTATTGGTAATTTGTCTTTAATTTCTGGTTAATTATTAAAGTTAAATTAACCAGAAATTAAAGATAAATTACCACAATCAAGTTTTACAGCCTCTATTTTTAGTTATTGGGGCGTTTATATATTTTTGCTAAGAAAAGAATCTGGTGTTGTATCTCTTCGAAATATTTAAAACAAACAAGAATTTTCATCATAAGTCGACACATAAAACTATCTTAATCTTAGTACAAAATGTAAACTTCAAACAAGTTAACAACAAATACGAAATATTTAGTCTATATTCAAGTTCAAGCAGGAATAAAGGGATCATGTTTAAAATGTTTCATCAAGCTAAAAAAAATCAATAAGCATTCAATTATATTCGATAAACTAGTAATATTTGCTCCAAAAATGGTTTTATGTTAAATTTACTAGCTTGAATATCTTGATTAGCATTTTTAAATTAAGAAAAAAATGAAAGCTGAGGTTGCCAGACATCTTATTAGTTTTATTGTATTTTAAATTCTTTTGGACTCACAAAGTTTTTTATTTCTGCCTGATTTTATTCTAATTAAACATTTTAAAGTCTTAATTTATTTATAGAAATTGGTCTGTGTTAGTTTTAATCCACCTTTCTGTATATATCTGTACATAGTCTCAAGAGGATTACAGATTTACAGTGATATGTTGTAAAATTGTTTGTATTTAAAAACTGTACTATACTACTACTTTTATTAATTAAACTACCACAGACCACTATGGTCTAAAAATACTAATGGAGTGATTCTTAGTTTAAGAAGTAATATTATTATGCATGGAAATAATCACAAGTCATTTCTGTTTACTTGATTGATATAAAGATCATATAATAATGACTTACCAATGAATGTGCTGAAACTTTTCTTCATAACATTAGCTGGTGACTCAGGCACGTCAAGCTAATGAGGGGAAAAAATACATTTAGTGGTAACAGTTGCTTTTTTAAATTCTGTTTATTTCTTTTTTAATATTTTATTATCGTTTTAAATATCGAATATAACAATAAATTACCTTAGAACCGTAAAAAAAGGTATATAAAGTGTTGCTGGTGGTGTGAGCTAGACTCACCTTAAAAGTCTTTCCCAGCACATTGGATGTGGAACTGAAGACATGACTTGCTTCACACTTAACTGCAGTACCAATCTCATCCAAGTCTTTCTTCACCATTGAGTACACTTCTGCAGACTAAACAAATAATAATATCTTGAATAATAATTAATTAAAAGGTATTAAAGTTGTATATTTGAATAAAACATTACGTAAAAATAAAAGTTTTAGATCATTTTTAATAATTTTATATCTTAAAACAGTATTTTAAACTTTTTAAGTTTTATATATTTAGTTATTCTTCATAGCAATACTTATATATTTTATTGCCATGACATAGAACTATCTGCTGTACCTTAGACTTATTAGCAAGGATGGAAACCAAATTGTATATAGAAAGCAGTGCCATACTCCAGGCAAGTGGTATAACAAAGTCCTTCTTTTAGTATAATATTTTTATTTACAAAAAAACAAAACCAAATTTACATTATTTTTTATGTCACTATTCATTCAATTTTATATGAGTTTTTTTATATTTTATAATTTTTTATGAGTTCCCTGGTATATCTTTGGAAAACCAAGATCCAATTGATTGATGATTTCCAACACAAAAAGAATTATCCAAATTGGTAACTAAACAATAGAAAAAAAGCGGAAATAAGAACCTACTCTTTTGAAGTTAGTTAAAAATGGATAGTATCTCTTTTGTTGACAAATTATTATGACAGTTTAGTTATGATGTGCAGAGACAACAAACACATTCACAAACTTTTGCATTTTAATATTAGTGTAACAACTTTAAATAAAATTGCATCTAAGGAAGTACAATTGTTTCGAAACATTCCACATTTACTTTACCAAATAATAATGTGAGCAGGATTTGACCTTGACAACACATTTTTCAATAAGGTCATTCAATTGTTCACTTCACTAACTAGCATAAATAATTGAATTAAACTTGTATATACTTTTGTTTTGGCTGATGATAGCAGTGAGTCCCACCAGTTTCCAGATGGCTTTTCTTCTTGTCTTGGTGTTGTTGCATTAGCAGCATCATTTGTATTTGTTTCACAACTGGAACAAACCATGATAGTGGAACTCAGTGGTGATTTAAACATAACAAGGGCATGTTTTTATCTAGAACTCTCTAGCGTAGGCTACTATCCCACCCGATGGTAAGTAATGATATAACTGTAGGCGGTATACAGTAAGACTTCTTAAGCATTGGAGCCCAGAACCAGTAACTTAAAATGACTACTATATATCTCTAGGAAGGGATAGGGTTGTATGCAAAATTCATTTTAAAATGAGCACAAAAGGTAGTATTTAGTGGATTGTATTTTGCATAAAAGTAAGTTAATCCTAAATACATTTAACATCTGTTAGTATGAGATGGTCATATTACCTATCAGTAATATTACATCAAAATATATTTATTCCTTTATCAAACTGTTTATATTGTGTACAATTTAATAATTTTGCTCTTGAGAAATGTTTTTTATGTTAATACATACGATAAACAAATAAATACAATAAACACTGAATTATACCTTTCGAAATAATAACAATAGCAGACCCTCTAGCGTCTTGTAAATAACTAATAAATATATTAAGCTTACGATCGAGATTGTTCTATCTATTTTGACTAGATTTTACATATTATAAACTTTGAGTAACATATTGTTTGTCAAATAATAGATACGCAATACACTTGTACTCACATCCCAAAGTGCCTATTTTGAAAAACACAAGCAGGTTTAAGAAAGTTACGTATTATTATGATGGGCCTTGGAAAATGTTCAAAGGCTACTAAAGAGTTTAAGAAAGGAAATATAGATACGAATATATTCTTTTATTTAAAAATTATTGGAAATTTAGTAAATGTCATCGCAATCAATCGCAATCTATTTAATAGCCAAATAAATATTGTTATTTATTTTGTAACTGTACGTTTTATAGTGCCCTAACATCAACATCAAAGCAAAACAAAGATTAAAATTAATAGCTTACTTCTCAGCCATCACGTCGATTTCTATCTAATCAACCTTATAAAAGTAGGACATGGAATTTTGCACATATATTAGTACTGTGTGAATATTTTTGTTATTACACGGAATTTAGATTTAATTTTGACTTGACATAGTTTAGTTTTGTTTGCGTTGACAAGGATTTTTTCGTAGAAATGTCAACAGTCATACACTTTCTGCCAGTGTCAAAAATGAAAATGGAATAAGCATATAAAAGTTGAACCCTTCTTCAATTGTATTAGGTTTTTATTATAATTTATTATTCACTCAAGCTTTCGTTGAAAAACTTGCGAAATTATAAACTACATAATCAAACTTGTTAAAACTCTTCCAGCTCTTACACTTTAAAATAAATTTTAGTAGACCCGTGAACCCAGAAAAACAATAAAGTTGGTGCATGCCAACGATACTCAAGTCATCCGCCCCGCTGCATCCTCGTGCCATCTGTTAATGAATAATGGACAACTCGGACAATAACGGACAATGTGGGGCATGACACAATTTTTTTTCTTATTCTAAACTTCAATGAAACTACCCGAAGGAAGTAATAACATCAAAATTGCTATCTTACGTCAAACAAACGATCACTTACTAAAATTAAACTACGAAAACAATTAATTAACAATAATTAAATCATTTAAGAAACACGAGATTTAAAGAAATAAATACTAAAACTACAAAAACTACTAAACTCACAAAAACCATCAATCTTCTAGAGTTAAGTTTTGTAATTATAGATGTAAATAGAACGATCGCATGCAGACTCGTACGTTATGATGTAAGCGATTCAAAAGCACCTTGGCTCATGAGGAGATAACGACTGCATGTAGGCTGCAAATCGAGGATTTCGAGTACGCCGGCGAAAGTGCTGTGCCTGGTACTGGTTTTAAAGTGAATGCAGTATGTGCCACGCTAAGTGTGGTGGTGTTTTGTCGGTCATTTACCCACATGACAGTTAATGTAAGACGACACTCCTTTTCCCACTTTAGCGATCTAACTGATCCTATGGAAGAGTAAAATCGAAGAAATGTACACGCTTTAAACTTGTAGACCTGAAATATTTCTTTACTACTCATATGCGTAAAGCAGTATTGAAGCATAAGGAAGTAATGATTTTTATCCCATAATAATTAAAACCAGCAGAATATGTATCTCTGGACAGCAGAATATGTACTGGAGCTTCCACTACACGTGTCTTTTAGGTACCTGGATGACCTGATCATGAATAAAAAAAAGAAAATCGTCTGAACTCGAATCCGAGTCTTCTGGTAATCGGGCGGTCCATGGAGATGGTGTCGAAATTTACCTTCGTATTCTAATGATATTGGAACAGTTTTTCAGTGTATGAAAACACTGATAAAACGACGTTTTCTAAAAATGAAACTTACCTAGATCGATATATCGCCACCTAGGCCCAGTAACCAATTTCATGAAAATCATTGGAGGCGTTTCCGAGATTCAGATGCAGTATATTATTGTCGCGATGGTAACGACACGCTGTATATACAAGAATTGCTCGTTTAAAGGTGTTAGATAAAGATAGGCCTAATGTAAAGTGTAGCTTAACTTTAAGTTAATTTTTAGTGCTAGTCTATACACTTGGTAGGGCCGCGCAGCAGTCTTCACTGTTGTACTGTGTGTGAGGTCGTACAGAAAACCAGCGTAAAGAGGAAGGGTTACACTTCTGTTTCGTTTGGTGTACTCACGGGTAGCAATGCCTCAAATATGGGGCAGCGGTTATCACAATTATCAATGAGAAACTGGGTGCGTTACCAGAAAAACGCAAGTTTGAATCCCACAGTGGCGAAAATTATAAGACAATTTATCATTAAAAAAAATCTCATTTTAAACTATAGTTCGACTTGAATTCTTTTGACGAATTCGTGGCGCAGTTGGTAAGCTATTTGTTTCGGCGTCGAGGGTCGTGGTTTCGATTCCCGCGACCCAAGCGCTGAAGAGCATATTATTTGTGTGACCCACATATATTTGTACAGCACAAGATAAAGTTATCCTACAGTAAGGGCAAAAAGAAGATAAAAAAATTCTCCCCACATCTTGTGGACTAAAGTATGTCATATACCGTATCCAATTTTTGTTAATGTTTATTAGATCTGTTGGTTTCGATACAATTTTTGTCGCTACAGTGAAATCGTGCAGGAAACCTAACTTCATATTTAATTTTAACTAATCATTGATACGGGCCTCAGAATTTTTTAGTGCATGAAACAAAGTCAATGCGCTAAAAGCATTCTAAATTATATAAAAACTTGTACTATAAATTAATGTGAATCGCAAATTTTTTATACCAAATGCAATGTATATTTGGTGTAAAAATAGTGCACTCTATTATCTTTTATGTACAGAAAGTTTAATTTTAAGGTTTTATTACAATGAATTGGAGAACTATTCTCTTAGTAACCAATATTGTAAGGACTCCTCTGGTGTTGCAGGCGTCAGTAGTCACCATCAGGTATACCTCTTGTCCGCTCAATCTCATGTAAAAAATATCTTTCATACAAGTGAGAGCAATGAAATCGACACGGATGCGTAGGATCCAAATACGTGAGTAAAACTGCGAGTAACCGCTATTTAACAAGAATGAAGCAATAAAATGAGCCAGTTTATAAAATAAAGAAGTAAAAAATTAATACTTAAAAAAACCGATGACGAATACATATAACATCGCGATATCGCTGGTATACTAATTACAGCGATAACGTTTTAATTCTTAATAACAGGTTATCTGCATAAAGTTTTCTCATACAGAAACATCAACTTTAGAAAAACGACACGCAAAAAGCGCAACTAATTACATTAATTTCATGTACGGATTTTATTAATTTGCGTTGGTGGGAGGAGGTATCCTTGCGGTCTTTGTTTATGGATTATTCAATAAGGTATTGAAGCGAGTATTTTTGTAAATAAATTGTGAAGCATAGCGCAGGTTCAAAGATGTTAGTGCTACGATACAGATGCACGGTGTTTGTTTTAAATGTATACCGGGCAAATTGTGAGTGGTTGGCTGTTAAACGTGAATTTCACAATACAAAATAAAATAAAATAAAAAAGTACAATACAGGATTCATGTGTAAAATGCGATTATTACGTAACTTTAAATCTATAAAATATTGTTATAAAATATCAGTTAAAATCTCTAGTAGAAGTACTAGTAGTTTTTAAGTATGGTTATTACAATAACCAAAAATAGATGAATTATATCGCGGGGTAGTATTTAATTATCGTGGAGTATTTAAAGATTATTATAACTATTGCCTTTTACAATATTGAATATTATAACTATCGGCCAATTTTATCACAATTTGTTAGTAGGGTTGTACTTGAATCCGAGCGCTTCCATTATATTAGTTTTTGATCAGATTTCACGGACCTTTCTTCATGTTATTAATAAGAGTTTGCGAACGATCCTTCAAAGGCTTTGATATACAGGTTGTTAGAAATGCACAGGGAAAATAAGCATTTAAGAGCAATTATCTGATTTTACTTAACTTTTTATTTACACATTAAAAAAACATACGTTGAGTTATTCTGATAATTACCTTTATCAGACCACTGTACTGATAAAGGAATATTCTACATTAATAGTCCGATTTAATTAAATATAAGAAGCGAGTCACTGCTGATATAGATGATGTCTTGCTGCTCAGATGTCGTCTTATTATTAATATTACTCAGATTTACGTTATTTTAAATAAATATAATAATTTAATTTTAAATAATGGGTAATCTAGCACATTAGTTCTCGTATAATAGGTAGATAGTACCTATAACGTTATATTAAAGTATTCATAAGCATGTTTTCATATTTCAGTTTGAATAATGTACAAATCTGTTTGTGAATTCCTCCGATTTTTAAATATTACATTATGTATCTAGATAAGTAATGCGATGTTGAATGTTTTAGATTATGATTCGTATAATGTACGTACGTCATAAAATGTAACAAGTCTAAAACTTAGTTACATTTTATGGCGTATGTCGAAAATAATTTTAAACATGCCGTATACTAAAAACTGAATGGATAATTCTTGCGCATAAACCGAAATAATAATACAGGCAGTGATCGACACGGGCCTTCAAAGTTCATCGCTCAATCAGCCAAAGCCCGCGGGGATGACGTCACGCCGCGTGACGTGACACGCCTCGCCACGAGATGGCGCTGTACGATCGTAGGAAATGTTTACCCTTAAAATGCGCTGTGTGTGGTATTTAACGTTGCAATTTATTTTGCTGGATTATTCATTTATTGTTTATATTTACTTCTCTGGCTAAATAGGTCCTAATTTTTTTTATTTTACTTCCGTGTGCTTTATTTCAGCCAGACAAATGGACTGATTTTTCATTAGCTGTGTGGTGTTAATACCATGCCGTGAGTTATTATTTCTGGAAAATAATAAATTTTTCACGCTTATCGCAGCATCTATAGCAGGAATTTCTATTGCCTAAATTAGCTTATTTTATAAACGTTAACTTGAGCGATAAGCATAAGTGTCTCTGGTTAAATACTTTTATTTATCACAAATGAACATAACATTAGTGTGGTAGGGCCACGCAGCAGCCTCGGCTGTTGCACGAATGGGCAGGCCTATTCAGGTAAGTATCCTCACAGAAGACCAGCGTAAAGTGGAAGTATGACAAATACTTTCGCGTTTCGTCTGGTAAGTGGGGTGGCCGGAGCCCAATTTTTAAAAGGTTGTCAACGCATCTGTAACCCTCGGGTATAGCAGATGTCCAATGGCGGCGGTATTCACTTACCATCAGGTGAACCGTCTGCTCGTTTGGCAACTTTTCACATAAAAAAAACATAGTTCACTTAAAAAGAGATAAAAATAACTAAGAAAATACAAATATATGTATAATATATACAACAGTCTAATACGGGTTTTTAAATCTATGTAGTTAACTAAATTTGTTTAATAGGCGTTTTTTCCATAATGAGACGGCTTTAAATGGCTTTAATTTCCTCACGCCGTTTG